CAACATATTTAATAGCTTGTGCAGTCATAAGGTTTGAAAAGTTACCTTTTGCATTACAACTCCCAGAATGCCAAAACCAGCTGGGAGGAAGATGCTGGGAACTGCAGTTAATTTAGTAATTATTCAATTGTGTGGTACAATCTACACGGACCTGGGGTTAATGTTTAAGTAGTTGTTAGTGGCTACTCAAATTTGGAATGCTATGGGCACATACAAAATAAACTTGTTGCAATCTTAATGTGCCATTACTAAAAAAGGAAACTTTTGTTCAACATGGATCCATAGCTTAGCTCATATTGCGTCACAATGGAGACCACAAAGATAGAAACAGTTACTAAATAATTCCCCTTTGGCGACCAGTTGTTGATAGGAGGAAGAAAAAAACAAAACAAAACACCAGCAGTAACTTATGAGAAAAGGTTCATGAACCAATCTGTAGAAAAAATATCATACTATAGCTTCATTCAACTCCAAAAAGTTGCGGTCACAGCTAATTTGCTGTTTTGACTCAGGGCACAATCTGCCAGGAATATATTTATGTCTATAGGTCTGCACAGAATGAACATGGGTTGTTGATGGCATGTAATTTTGCCTACATAACTTTATAATGTCAAGGTTTTGAGTTATCGCACAGACACAATTTTGCTTCCTCAATGCATAAAGCAGCTATATAGTGGAGACCAGATGGAGGAGCTTCACTCATGACATTGCCTCAGTGCTTGCCTATGGCTGCTTTCAATGTGATTACATTGTAGGTAGCACATTCACATTATTTGGGGGGGGGGGGATATCTGTAGCACATATTCAATAGTGACTTCTTAAGATCTCAGGAATGTTGGATTTTAGGATTACACAAATTCCCCCAGTCAGCATGCCCCATAACAACGAGCGCAAGTTCAGAAAGAGGCTGGACAGCTACCACTGGAGATGGATACTCAGCTCTAGCTGGACTTCTTGCATTGAGCAGGGGGTTAGACTCAATGGCCTACAGAGATCATTTCCTTTCTGGCTTTCTGTATGTAGTTAATACCCCTGCTAACTGTAAATTGTTTTGCATTCACACATTATAAAAGCACAGAGAGGCATGGGGGTGGGGGGAAGCTTCTTCTAAACCTTGAGATGCCAGATCTGGCCATGATAGTACATGCCTTAGTCATATCTCAACTGGACTACTTTTTTGTGTCAGGAGTGACTTGAGAAACTGCAAGTCTGCAAGGACTTTGCTCAGGGGACACCCAGATGTTTTACCACCATTGTGGGAGGCTTCTCTCATGTCCCCACATGGGGAGCTGGCGCTGACAGAGGGAGCTCATCTGCACTCTCCCCGCATTCGAACCTCTGATCTGTCAGTCTTCAGTCCTGCCAGCACCAGAGTTTAACCCATTGCACCACCAAGGGTTCCTGTAGACTGGACTACTGCAACACGCTCTACGTGGGGTTGCCTTTAAAGAGGGCTAGAAGCTTCAGAGATCAGCAGCTCGGTTACTAACCGGAGCACCGTACAGGGAGAGAACAACTCTCATGCTATGGCAGCTTCACTGGCTCCCAGTCTGCTACTGGGCAAAATCTAAAGTGCTGGTCATTATCTTTAAAGCCCTAAATGGTTTGGGTCCAGTCTACCTGGCCAATGCCTCTCCTCATATGAACCTGTCTGGACACTGCGCTCATCAGCGGACGCCCTCCTCTCAGTCCCACCCCTGTCTCAAACCTGGTTGGTGGGGTCGAGAGAGGGCCTTCTCTGCAATTGCCCTCCACCTCTGGAACTCCCTCCTGAAGGAGATCTTCCTATGTACCCAGGTGTATGAAGATGCAAATGTTTAAAGATCTGGCCTGATAAAACAAGGAAGGGACTATGGTTTTAATGATATTGTGTAATTTGCTTTATTGCTCTCTATGTGATTGTTTGTATGGTTGACTGTTTTGTATTGCTTAGTTGTATTGTTTAATTTATTATTTTTATGGCATTTAATGTTTGCCTTTTATATTGTGAACTGCCCTGAGTCCTCATAGGCAGACAGGGTGAGATATAAATAAAGTTTTACTTGCTTGCTTACTTACTTACTTGCTCCACTGCAGTATAGACAGAGGACTGCTACACCAGCCTCCAAGACAACTGCTCTAGACCTCACTTTTCATGAATGATGGAAACCAAAATTATTCTCATAATATAAATTGGAAAGCTGGCATGGAATAGTGGCTAGAGTCCTAGATGAGGGGTGGGTGTCTGAACTAAGATGAATGTTAGAAAACCACATCTGCGAATTGAATCAGTGGAGGCAATATGAAGTAGAAAGACATGGAAGAAGGCCTTCTGGGCTGTGGAGCCCTGCTTATGGAACACGCTTTTCTTGGAGACCTCCAAGAGAAGGCTATTCCATAAGAGGGGCTCCACCAGGCTAAAACACGGCTATTAATCAAAGCCTTAAACAACAGTACCTTGCTGCCATTTTTTAAAAAGTGGTTAAACTGATGCTATCTTTAATACAAGCACTATGTGAGGGTGGCTGCTTGCAGGCTTGGTGATTCTCTCCCTAGGGATGCCATAATGGCCCTGCCCTTGCTTTCCTGTCTGCAGGTTAATAATTTTTTTTTGCTGTCTGGTTTTGTCCATGCTTTTTATCAGTTTTTAAATTGTTTAAAATATTTTTATATATACTCCTATTGTATGTTTTGTATAGTTTTATTTATATTATCTTCAAATATGATGTTAGCCCCCTTGAGTCTCATTATGGAGAGAAAGGTGGGCTATAAATAATAATAATAATAATAATAATAATAATAATAATAATAATAACCCCTAAGGTATCAGATTCTATTTGGTCAGGTCTACTTAGTACTTGGACAGAGGAACCTCAGGAGGAAAGAGAAGGGAAGGAAAGAAAGTAAAAGAAAGGGAGAAGAGGAAGGAGGAAAGAGAAAGGAAGGAAAGAAAGAAGTGGAAGGAGGAAAGATAAAAAAGGAAGGAAGGAAGGAAGGAAAGGGTGAATGGGAAGGATGAAAGGGAAAAGAAGGAAGGAAGGAAGGAAAGAGGAGGAAGGAAAGATAAAATAAGAAGGAAAGCCAGCCAGCCAGCCAGCCAGCCAGAAAGAAAGAAAGAAAGAAAGAAAGGGAGAAGACGTAGGAGGAAAGAGAAAGAAAGGAATACCAGGTGCCACAGAGTATATTTCACAAGAAAGAATTACCAAAACCATATCTGAGTATTCCTTGGCTAAGAAAACTCTGAAATTCATAAAGCTACCATACATTGACAGGTTTTTTTTGAAGACACATACAGAAACATGATTATTTACATTTTTAATGTGAAAATTGTTTATATAGAACTCTGCCCTAAAGAGCTTGTGATAATGAACAAAACAGAAGTTTTCTAATAAGGAAATGAATTATACATAAATACAAAAGAAGACCCTTCTTGAATGACTATGGGCTCTTTGTAGTCTCTTTTGCTGACTCTTGTACCAATTACCATTTCTTAACCTTGTGATGAAGGGATATGGAATGAGCCCATATACACTGTATCTTTGAGAAAGGACAAAGTATAAACACAAATAAACAAATAAAACAGGGGGATGGACGGACTAGAAAATTTCCAATGCAAAGGAGGTACTGACGATTGGATCTACTTGAACATAGTCTGGTATTACCAGGTTTGGGAGACAAACTTGGGAAACTGATGGATGGAATGAAGACATTGTCATTATTCCCAGGATGGCAGCCTGCAGCTTGAACAAGATGGCATTCTAGCCAAGCTGAAAGCTGTGCTCTGCAGTCACTAAAAAAGTTTGAGGATGACAGCTGCTGTACATGTAAAGGCAACAAATGTTATGTGACCAGAAATGACTGGCATGACATGTGCACCTTACGTAATCATGTTCCCAGCTATTCTAAAAATGTCCTGTTAAAAAGCCCTTTAAAACAGATCCTTGTACCGTGCCAAACCACACCAAGAAATAAACCAACTCCACCTCCTATCTCATTGGGATCCGTTCTCTTGGATGCTTTCCTCCCCAATATTTATTTATTGAGCCTAGAGAAAGGGGGGAGGGGGACGGGACTCAAGGCGGCTTACATATGGGAATTATTCAATGCCTTAAACACATACAACATTAAACTTAAAATCCACTGAATTAAAATGAATACATATTAAAAAAAATTAAATTACATTCAATATTAAAATCATCCTATCCAAAAATTGTTGTCTGAGGTGGTTCCGTACCTATTGCAATTATATTATATTATATTATTGCACTGCTTCTCTGAAGGCCTGGTCCCAGAGCCAGGTTTTCACTCTGCTTCTGAAGGCTAGGAGGGAGGAGACTGATCTAATGTCACTAGGGAGGGAGTTCCTTAGCCAAGGGGCCACCATTAAAAGGCCGAGTCTTTCATCCCCACCAGTCGCGCTTGTTAAGGAAGTGGGACCGAGAGCAGGTTCTCCCCAGAAGATCTTAATCTCCAAGGTGGTTCATGAAGGAGAAGGTTCGGACAGGGAAACTGAGACGGAACCATTTAGGGCTTCATAGGCTAAAGACACCACTTTGAACTGTGCTCGGTAGCAGACTGGCAGTCGGTAGAGCTGACATAACAGATTATTTAAAAATGGTTTCATGAAGCTACCTCTTTAAAAAAATAGGCAGTGCCATCTCCTGCAGAAACATTTATGAAATGTTTCTGTCTCAGAATAAAAGGAATAATGAAGTATTGTATTTTCAGCCATCATTGATCTGTATAGTCTTTCAAGACACAACAAGTACAATTGTGATATTTTTGGCTTTGCAATCGCTTTTCCCTGGAGACATGAAAAATATGAGGTGAGAACTAAACTACATTGAAATGCATGCTTGTGTGGGAATGTGACACCTCAGAATGAACATGAGCAGGAGGAATGGCATGTCTGAATGCAAGCCATGTTTGATGTTAAGCAAACACTCCAAGGTGCTGTTTGTCTGTCTATCTGGAGGGCAGGATGGATTATGGATTTATTTGAAAAAATTTCTGGAATTTACCTGTCGTGTGTCCTCATGAAGTCCCAAATTTTGGAAATCCCATTCTGAAAAACAGAAAGCCATCACTAACCATTAGTACAGAGTGATAGTCTTTGATCTTCACTCATATGAATCAATCAATGTAATATACATGTGCAGGTAAAGTATGGTTTCAGATACGGTTGCAGGTTGAGTATCTCTTATCTAAAATGTTGAGGATTAGAAGATTTCAGCATTTAAGTTTTTTTCGGCTTTGGAATATTTACATGTACATAATGCAATATCTTGAAGATGATACCAAGACTAAACATGGAAGTGATTTATGTTTTGTATGTAAAACAGTGCAGGTGGGGATGAGAGTTCCAATGTATTTGGAGCAGAATTCAAAGTGCAGGCTATGACCTATCCAGCCTTTACAGCTTTCATCCAGGTAATCTGAAGGACTATGGCTAAAATCCTGTCAGAGACTCACATCAACGTAAACAGATTTACATCTGTGAAAATTAGAGCTGAGCAGTTCCAGAATGTCCATATTTAATAAAGGACTGCAGTCATGTTACTACATAGGGCAGCGTTTCTCAACCTGGGGGTCAGGATCCTTGTGGGGGTCTTGAGGGAGTGTCAAAGGGGTCGCCAAAGACGATCAGAGAACACAGTATTTTCTGTTGGTCATGGGGGTTCTGTGTAGGAAGTCTGAACCAATTCCATCATTGGTGGAGCTCTGAATTGTAGGTGAACTATAAATCCCAGCAACTACAACTTCCAAATGTCAAGTCTATATTCCCCAAACTCCAGCAGTGTTCACATTTGGGCATACTGAGTATTTGTGCCAAGTTTGGTCCAGATCCATCATTGTTTGAGTCCACAGTGCTCTCTGGATGTAGGTGAACTACAACTCCAAAACTCAAGGTCAATGCCCACCAAACCCTTCCAGTATTTTCCATTAGTCATTGGAGTTCTGTGTGCTAAGTTTGGTTCAATTCCATCATTGGTGGAGTTCAGAGTGCTCTTTGATTGTTGGTTAACTATCAATCCCAGCAATTACAACTCCCAAATGACAAAATCACCCCCCACCAATCCCACCAATATTCAAATTTGGGCGTATTGGGTATTTGTGTCAAATTTGATCCAGTGAATAAAAATACATCCTGCAGATCGGATATTTACATTACAAGTCATAACAATAGCAAAATTGCAGTTATGAAGTAGCAAAGAAAATAATGTTATGGTTGGAGGGCTTGACCACATGAGGCACTGTATTAAAGGGTTGCGGCATTAGGAAGGTTGAGAAACACTGACCTAAGGGATACAGAAAAGTGATTGATGCATATTATACATCAAAACACCAGCTAAGTGTGAATGTGAATTGTCAAATCCTGAAGCACATCAAGATGCTGTTCGACGTGTCCCATTACTCATCTCTGCAATTCACTCACATGGTTTCTGAGTGTATCTGCTACGTAGATAACCACACATAAGGTCTCATAACATTAGCTGTGAGTGAGGATTTCAGCTTGTATCTCCCAATATAAACCTGCCAAAATGCAAAGATCCTCAACGCAGGGCTTTCTCACGGTCCCACAATTGTCCCCGTCCGTCTGGTGAGGACACATGAGACGGCCTACTTGGCAGCTGCTCTCACGCACTGGAATTCCCTTCCATGGAAAGCTAAGCTGGCTCCCTCTTGTTTCTCCAACAGGTAAAGACTGTTTTTATTTCAAAAGGCATTTATCAATTAACTGGTTGCGCAGAAGTGATTCCTAAGAGAGTGCGTACTACATTTACATCTTTCTCTTTATGTTTCAAAATGTTGTGATACAATTTGATACTATTAAGTATTTTAACATGTTAGCAAAATTATTTAATTTTTTATAATCATCAGATTTTAGTTCCATCATGTTTTAACTATGTTGCAAGCTGCCTTGGGCCCCATGTCAGGATTAAAATGGCATACAATGAGAATGAGAATAAAATAAACAATTTGTAAGACAAATAGCCCCTAAGAGCTGATAAAAACTTCTTTAGGTGGCAGGAAGACGCTTCTTCTGGCAAGACTGGTAGGACTGAAAACTTCTAAAGCAGACTTGGGTATCACAACTTATTTTCTATTTATTTACCTTATTTATATCCCACCTTTCTCTACCCTGAGGAGGACTCAAGGTGGCTTACAGATCGCAGGTAAATTAATTAATTAATTTTCTATCTACTAAAATCTGATGCACAAATACTTAAATAAATAGTCTGAGGATGCCTGCCATAGATGCAGGTGAAATGGCCGGAGAGAATGCTTCTAGAACATGGCCGTACAGCCCGAAACACTTACAACAACTCAGATAAATAAATTTTCTATCTACTAAAATCTGGTGTACAAATACTTAAAACAACTAAATAAGTAATTCCACTAAGAGAACCAGTGTGGTAGATTGCTTTGAGTGCTGAACCTGAGTTCCAATCTCCATTTAGCCATGGAAACCCACTGGGTAACTGTGGGAAAGTTACTCTCTCTCAGCCTCTCAGGAAGATAAAAGCAACCCCCTCCGAACAAATCAGGTTGATAGCAAATAAAATACCCTTTCGGTTGATTCACTCAAATAAAACATTTTAAACTAGTTAAACCAATTATTTAGTTACACACTTCAAAACCCCTCTCCAAAGTATTAATAAGACTTGGTTCTGACTTCCGCAATGAAGATACCGCTACCAGTATGTTGCCATTAGAAAGGCAAGCTGGCTGGCACCGAGGTGTGGCAGGAGGCTTATTTTGGAAACAACAGAGGTGACCTGAGGGGGAAAAGAGGGAGAAGCGGAATGCGGTGGTTGTCGCTGCTGCCTAACGGCACAGGCAGGAAGGAGGAGGGGTGCACTGCATTTGCCAATACGTCCTTTGTGTGTGTCAGGATTTTCAAATTGAGGTGCACAATACATTCAACACTAAACTCAAGTAACTATCTGGTTTGAACAAGTTATAATATTTAAGAGAATTAGAAATGTTATGCCTGATCCAAGATTCCTATGAGGAAGAAACCCTCTCTGAACCTGTAACGAGGCCACCAATTTGTAAAGGAGGCACCCAGTTTGTATCGATGTCACCAGTTTGGAACCGTTTGTAAAGGAGCCACCACTTTGTAAGGACTTACTAAATTGATAACACTATTGGCTTGTAATATTGAATTGGTCTTTCTTCAATGTGTAGCGTGGCTAAACTTGAAAGTATTTGCAACAGAGACTTGGCTTTAGAAGAAACTGTAACAAGTTTATTGAAGTATAGAAGAGGCTTGATGGTTTCAATGTTTCTTAGCTCTTAGACGCACATTTCTTCAGAGTTTACATTAATACATTTCATAAAAGAACTCTTAAGAGAACTATTCCTTTTAATAAACAGGTTTCCTTCAAAAAGTGTTTCTTTCCTTAACCGATTATTTCAGGTACAAGCTTATTCTTTTCTTGTGTTATTTCTGTTGCAGTAAAGATGCTTACTGGGTTTCTCTCACCCTTTCTACTCATACACAAACTACTAACCTAAATAAGTCAACTTGACCTATCTAAACCTCACAAGTTAAAAGCTTAAACCCTCCTGATTCTCAATACAGTAGAATCAGCCTTTCCCTGTTGTTCTTAGACTACAGACTACCTTTCTGGTTCTCAACACACAACAGAACCAGCCTTCCCTGTAGTTCGCTGACTACAGACTAAATGTTTTAAAATGGCTGCCCTGCCAAGTGGCAGTTGGCTCTGCTCCTTTTTCCATGGCAACCCAGCTGAGCTGGCTACCATCCCCCCAGTTATGTTAGTTTAAATACCCTTTTAAACACCTATCTATTATTATACATAACTGTAGATTAAAACTCACACTTCACCACAGAACCCAGTGAGACTTCAGAGTAGACATGTGTCACATCATGGCCCTGTATAAATATGTGAGGGAAAGCCATAGGGAGGATGGAGCAAGCTTGTTTTCTGCTGCCCTGGAGACTAGGATGCGGAACAACAGCTTCAAACWACAGGAAAGGAGATTCCACCTGAACCTTAGGAAGAACTTCCTGACTGTGAGAGCTGTTTAGCAGTGGAACTCAGCAGTGGAACTYTCAGAGTGTGATGGAAGTTCCTTCATTGGAGGCTTTTAAACAGAGGTTGGATGGCCATCTGTCGGGGATGCACGCCCTCCAAATGGGAARTTTAGTTTCACAACTCTGTTTTTATGAGCTCCCTGCAAATAACCTGCTCCTATTTTTATCTCATTAGAATCTTTTAATTGTTTTATTCTGTACATGTGGCCCGTCCACTGTTATCGTGATTGTGTTTATTGGAATRGTTTTTTTCTTATGTAATTTTGATGATATTGTTTGTTGTTTATGTTTTTGGTTTTATTCTGCTGTAATATGTTGTCTGGGCTTAGCCCCATGTAAACTGCTCCGAGTCCCCACTGGGGAGATGGTGGCGGGGTATAAATAAAGATGATGATGATGATGCTTTGAATGTGATTTTCCTGCTTCTTGGCAGGGGATTGTACTGGATGGCCCACGAGGTCTCTTCTAACTCTATGATTCTGTGGTTGGTAAAATTCTTTTTGATGCCACCATTTCCCAAGCATATGGGCATGCATAGTGTTAATATGGAGGACCCAAATCAAACTATGTTTGCAAATTCCTTTGTGGAATGAAATCTTTTTTGAAATATACATTGCATCAAGGCTTGGAAAAGAGCCTCCTGTAAATGTGAACTGGCCTTCAGAGTTTCCTCCATTCCCATCTTTGTGTTGGGAGTTCTGGTAGTAGCACCTAAGTGCGAAAGTGGGTTCAGATATACTTCCTGATCCTTCTTGCTATTTGTTTGCCACTGTTCTATCCATTCAACTAATTGCCCCAAATTTCATTCAGTTATGTGCATGGTGTGCCTTCAGGCAGCCTGTTGACTTGGTGATCCTATGAATTTCGTAGTTTTCTTAAGCAAGGAATTCTCAGAGGAATAATAAAAAAGCTTCCTGGTTTGTGGATTCTTTGATCTACAATAATGAAGCCATAAATAGATTAAGAGTGTCACTCTTAAGATAAAGCTAGTCTATGCA